TTTTATTGGTATATATATATACAAGTATTTCTCGAGGTCAATCCTATTCAACTAACCTCCTTAGTTCCTTAGTGACTTCCAAGATGTTTGTTATGGGTGTACCTAGAGTTCTCACGATTTGCCTCCTCTTCCTTGCAATAGCACATCTTTCAATGGCCGAGTGCTGTCATGGAGTGGGCAGGAGACACTGCTCGACAGGTGTCTTGGGTACTAAAATCTGCAAGAAACTATGCGTTGATGGATTGAAGCCGAATACATTTTGCGGGAAAGGAAGTGAGTGGATATATGAAACTTTTTGAATTTGAATTGATCATTGACCGGGGGAAAAATCAAAGAATGTGATCTTCTTGGCTGCAACTGCAGTGAGGGATGTAGATAACCATACTGGAACGGAGGCTCATGGGCACACGATCAGACTTGGTTTCATTGCGCGTTTGTTCTCAACTCGAACTGATATATTCGGAGAACATGGTCGCTTGTGAGAATCGTGCTCTTTTCTTCATCTTGCTCAGAGAGCACTGCTGGAGGTTTCTGAATGTAGATGCTGTCACCTTTGTCTCCGAATCCCTGTACATAATGTTTGAGGCTTGCGACATAGATATGTAGTTAATAGACTTGGATGAAGGTGCAGTTGCTCAAAAAAAAAAAAAAAAAAAAAAGAACAGAGTGATGATTACAAACGAATTAAGAAAAGACCATATTTACAAATTCCTTGGCTCACTAGGACATTCCAAGTGATGTTTTTTCACGGCCTCTCAAGCCTTGACCTCTTCATTGAGAATAACGGCATTCGCGGTATTCTCGCCACAGTTGGAGTTGGATTCGCTTACCTGCATTGCACGCCTTTGCATAGCGCGAGCTACACGAGGTGGGTCAAAGATAGATTTGGATTGCGCGAAAATCTCGTCGATCTCTTCCAGTGACCGCCCCTTCGTCTCTGGGAAAAAGAAATACACACTGGGCACAATAGCCGCGTTGACAACGGCGAAAATGATATAGTAACGGTTTCCGATCGTAGAGAAACCAACGGGGGTTACCTGAGCTATCATAAAACTGAAGGCCCACACGGTGGCAGTGGATACCGCATTCACAGCAGCACGGACCTGTAGAGGTGCCATCTCCGCGGCGTAGAGGAAGGTTAGACCACAGTAGCCCACAGTGAAGATGAATTGGAAGCAGAATAGGAAGACCACGGCCATGGCGAGAGCTCCAGTGTTATTGGCTGCAGCGGGGGAGGTCGTGCCAGCGAGGCCTGCCATGCAGATTGTCATGGCTCCGGCACTCCACAACATGAGAGGGCGGCGACCGAGACGGTCGATAGTGAAATAGGCAATGTACCCACCGAGGGGTTGCATCATTGTCATCGCAGCCGCGAGGATGCGAGAGTCCACAGCATTCATTCCAAGATACTGCTGAAAGATAGTTGTTGCGTAATAAGTGATCAGATTGACCCCACACATCTGCTGAAACATCTGGCCCGTGGCAGCGAGGTATGCGCGGTGAAAGAGTCGCTGCTCACCGTTTTTGAACATGTCCGTCCACGATCCCGGGCAGTAGGCAAGAGATGTCTCGATACTGAGGATGTTCTCGTTGACATCGTCCGCATGCTCGTCGAGATCGAGCAATGCCGCGAGTACTTTGCGCCCTTCTTCCACCTGTCCATTCTTAATGAGCCAGCGGGGTGATTCTGGCAGCATTGTGATAAAAACCATTGTAATGACCGGCATGACGATTTGGAAGGCGAGAGGGAACCGCCAAGAGACGGAGTTGCCTTTCACAAAGTAGAACCCCAAATCGATCCACAGGGCCAGAGTCACACCAATTCCAACAAAAATGCCATCGGTGACGACGTTGGATCCTCGCTTGTGCGCTGGCGAGATCTCAGATTGCCAGACCGGGACCGTCGCCACATATCCACCGATGCCCAAACCAAGAACCAATCTTGCGACGATAAATTGAGCAAAATCGAAAGATGCTGCCATGAGGATGGCGCCGATGATACTGACGAAATTGGTTATGAAAATCACCTTACGCCGACCCCAGAGGTCACCCAGGTAGATGCATGATAGGGCGCCAAAGATACCTCCAACGGTATAGAGAGCGATGACGGTGCCTGTCAGAGAAAAAAAAGAGAGATTTCGAATTAGAGAGTAGTAACAATTTGTCCGATGGCCACCAACCCTGCATTTGTGAGTTCTCTTTGTTTTGAGCTCCGTGAGTATGAATTGTGTCCATTCGGGGAAATTGTGAATTGAATGCATCGAGCGTTAAGAGACCACCGGTCACTCCCATGTTATACCCATAGCAAGTAAAGGTTGGGCACACGACCAAGAAAAGGGCAGCGCGGAGAAGGGCATTTCCCCGAAGGCCAAAATATGGCTTCAAACCCATATTGACAAGGAACTACCACATACAATTCCAATTGTCAAAAATCCAAGGACGAAAAAAAGAGAAGAAAAAAAAGGAATTGAAGAACCGAAGCGATGCCAAGAACTCCAATTTTTTTTTTTTTTTTTTTTTTTTCATTTCAAAGAAGATCCACGCCAAGTTACCTATCAACATTTTCAACACTTTCATCCCGAGGTCTGGGTCTTGATATGTGGGCCCCAATCCATTACTCCGAAAATGCATGCCATATGTATATATATGATGTTACAATGCTACCTACCAATTTCCACCGACACCGCTAAGGATGTACTTGGGCATGTTGGTCTTGCGATCTAAGACTTTTCAATAACCGAGATCTTGGAGAGGAAGCCAAGGCGCAGAGAATGGCATGGACATGTCATCCCGTGCAGTAAAAGCTTTTCCTCGCCGGCTTTCACAGAATCGGGGACAGTGGCAGCAGACTTTGCAAGTGATAGGTCTTTCTAGATCTCTCCAGATCAAGCTCCTTACCATCTCTGCCCCGTTCGAATTTGTCAACCATCTGGAAATGCTGTCCAACGAGTCGGTGCTAGGTCAATGTACGGGTAGAGCTGCCGGTTCCGTGGGTCATTTTTAGTCCGAACCCGTAAAATGCGAGGTGATCGCCATGCCGGGACCAGAGTATTAGGGACGCCACTCATATAGTTTGGTGCAGGACCCTGAAAATTCAACATCAGCTAGATCTTGGATACTAGAAGAGCATTGACGGGTAAGTCCATTAGGATGAACTCTTTTACGGATAAAGGAGGACCACGGCTAAGCCAAAGTAATATAATGAATCTCAGGGGTATTTTGACGAACACATGATATTGAAACAAGTGATAGTACAGAAACCTCTCAAGCGGGCCCGACGTGATGATCAAACGAAACCCAAGAGGAATGTGATCGTACGGGCGATATTTGGAACCCCCGGTCACTTTGATCAGACCTTTCTGGATCGTGGACAAAAGCAGCAGTATTGTCGGGGTGCTTCCCACCCCAGCGTGAGTCGATGTGAAGGTCATCATGTAATTGTTCGACGTCTTCAATAACTGATGGATTGGTGCGGATCACAACAAGGAGACTGTTAAGTACCGTGAACTCTAGCATCAACTTGATACTATAGGCCACTGGCTTAAAGGTAGTCTGCACGTCAAAGTGGTTGGTATACTCTGTCGTCAGGAGAGCTGCATCCAACAGAACGGCGAGAGCGTTGACAATGATGAGGTTGACAACAACTCTCTGACCGCGACGGCCCTTCATCACCAAAACGGGCCTCAGGCTAGTCATAGTTTCCCAGATGTACAAACCACTGATAATCGTCTCTTGAGCGGCGAATCCAGCCAATTGAATACGCTCGTATATATCAAACGGGCCGACAAAGCTTTCGACATCAAGATTAATGCCAAGAAAGAGAACAGTGGTAGGAATATGCAAGGCACAAAAGTTGAAGATGATCATGCCCAGCACCCAGCGGGAGTAACAATCATAGTTCGTGACCAGATGCAGACGGGAGTACAACACCACAGACTGGCCAGTGACCATGGCGTACCAGCCGATACAGATCAAAACACACATAGGGAAATTGGGGGCGAGAGCGAAGTAACGAAGGAATGTCGAAAGAGCGTGAAGAAGAATTCCCAAGGTAGCGATCACCATGCTCCAGAAGTAAAGGCCGCGACGGCGTTGGAAGGTGTTGAAAATGGAAACCAGGATTTGGAGGACGTTCCAACATGCCAGGGCGAAAAGGCCGGCAATTACCATTGCAATTGTCCGAGACACCTCGACCGGTCCCGTTTCGCCTGTCATATTTGTTTCATCCGTCATAATAGTGAACAGGGAAGACCGAGCCAGCGACGAGTATAGAAACCTGGTCGCGTTGAAAATGCTCAAATTGATGAGCTATGCTGTGGGCCGAAGCCGTTCATAGGAAAATGGGCAGGGAGTTGAACAGTGAACTTGGACTGAATCTCCGATTTTTGAGAAGAATGGAGACAGGGGTCGGGAGAATGGGGGATCCGGTCGATCGCTGTTTGGGTTTGAGGCTAAACCCCAAAATGGGGGCCCCGGGGGCCCAAGGGGACTGATTAGTTCATTTAAAGTTGAGCCACTGACTCCCGAGGTCCACTCGGGCAGTTATCGTTGGGCCAGAACAAGTGTTGATATCATTTCAAAGTTGCCAAGGTTTCCAAGATTTGTCTCATCCTTCCCCTTCCTTCTGCATTTGGCTGCGTTTCATGTACTCCAGTGATTATTGAAACTCTCAAGTGAGCCGAAAATAGAAACCCAATAGTAAATACTAGGGACATTGCCACAGAAACAGGAACCAAAGGCCGGGAAGTGAGATACTGAGACCATGACCAAATGATAAATCTACCTCTCGACGATAACCTGCCAGCTAATTCAACAGTTGCTGCTGATAGTGTGGCGATCGGCACAAAGACTCCACTTGCATCTGTGGTTTCATAGACCCGATGGACTATCTAAGGTGATGACCGTACTTTGTATTGCAAATTGTGGGGAGTTCCATTGGCCAGAACCTTTCCAGCCTCACCATGTGCGCATTGAAAAAGTGGGACAACGTAGCGGGTGGCCTACGGGTTCGACACGATCTTGTTGTAATCCATCTCGTTGATCCCAATATCCCACAACTGCTCTCGCAGTTTCGTCCGCGGCATGTTATAGTTCGGACATTGCATGAGAATATGCTTCGGTGTTTGCGGGCCCTCGTCACAATTACACCGGTCGGTCTCGGCTGCCTTGGTTTTGAATAAGAAGTAGCGAAGGCCAATTCGCATTGTACACATCTGGATTAAGATAGCACACTGTGGCTTCGACAGCCCTTCGTACAACCGGAGGGGTTTCTTGTTTGGCGCCTGCACCAAACGCTTGCGGAGGTACAACATAGTCTCCCGCTCCCATCTCTCTCTGATTCGTTGACGTACCGCTCTCTTGGCAGCTGCGGCGAGACGGATTATCAGTTTCCCCGATTCGCCGCTCCAGGTCACAACTCCCATCTCCGCACCAAGAAGCGCTCACCTTTTGCTTTTCCATCGGCAAATTCTCGATAGCGATTGTATCATCAATTGGTGCTGAGCTCAGCAGCCTGGCGCATCGAGCCCCAATGTAGCCCAGTGAGCTGGCTGTCATTGTATCGTTCCTTGTTAAGGGTGCATGTGGGCCAATGCATATAAAAGCAGCTGTCCAGTGTCGGTTGCACCTTACATTTTGACCGTGACACTCTTTGTCGTAATGCCGAAGTTTACCCAGTTTCCCAGCCTTTCCTCATGATGTGCACATCCCCCATGGAAATGAGTACTATGTGATAGAAACCTATCAACTTCATGCGCGTACCTTTGCGGCCAGAGCAGCTGTGCGAGGAAAGCATTTTTCGGGCTCGCAGTGTTGTCAAATATTGTACAAATGGAACGGGAAATTCTTCCCCTCTAACAAATATGGTCGACGTTCTGAGAAGCGCCCATGCAGTCCACAACCTAATTGTAGCTGTAGAAATTGGCCTGGTCCTTCGCCTCCCATATGCAATAATTCGTTGTATCTGCGCCCACTGCCACGAAATCCAATAATAATTTCTTCTCTTTTGTTAGATGAAACCCATTTATCTACAACCCAAGTGAAGGGATCGGATTCCCTTTCGTTAGGCGTGAAGGTCAACATGAAGGGTCCCCCCCCCTTTCCCCCTAAAATTGGTCGTCCGAGTAGACGTACCTCTCACAATGGCTACACCCTACAGGAGCGTTTCAGCGAGGTCGAGATCGGTTCAGACTGAGAAGTGGCAAAATGCGGGTCGAGGCTGTACGGTCGAAACCCAACGTTGTCGTCTACTCGGAGGGCGGACTACCTTCCAGTCGCCAAGGGCACTCAAAGTTAGTAGCTGCCATGATCGCGCCCGATGACGACCTGGAGATGATGGATTTCCAACAAATCCATGTGGGGCCGCTGGATTGGTGGTCTCTTCATATGGCTGAGAATAATTGGCATATTCTACATCCTCGGCTCAATTTAAATACAGCTTGTACATCAGGGATCAAACAATAATAAGTCTTAACATCCGCCACGATCCTTTGTGATAGCATATCAACCCCGAAGGCAATCCAAAAACTCGGCAACAAATCTGACTTACTATCATGTACACCATATTACACGCGGCACGCAGCCCCCGAGTCTAAGCCAAGCGAAGGGGATCGCGCTTTATCTCCAATGACGCAATTCGGCCGGCCATACCTTTCCCGCCCACTACCCACAAGGGAAAAGGCGCTCATCCGCGACAACATCCGCCCTCAGTGGGAACCGGAGTGGAAATCATCCACGAAAAGTGATTATCGGAGGAGGATCGTATGATGTTTCTGTCAACAAAAGAGGGTCTCAATCTCTAGCGCGCTCAAGGAATATTCAGCACCCACACATATCTGACTTTAACCATGCTAAGCCAAAATCGTCCCTTTTTGTTTTATATTTTCTACCATTTTAGAAGAAAAAAAAAGAGACCACACTCAAGTTCGCAATCAGATGTAGTAGTCCGTACTGTCAAAGACCCCGTTCCCACAAGATGTAGTATATCCGTGGTACATATGACGTCGCTGAAGAATTTAGGTTAAGCACCGAGTTTTCCATGGAGTCGGAACGAATTTTAAGGTTGTGGCAAAATTCCCTGTCATTCCCTCAAGGTACGGAGTATAAAGCACAATGATTATAATATCTATGCCGAGTAAAACCCGACCCAAGGTCAAAAGTCTCCGACAAGCTTTGACTTCGGGGGAATTCCACCCGGCGCGCCATCTCAAATATCTGGTTTAGTGGGGACTCTGCTCGGAGGGAACCCTCTGTGGTTTAGCTTAAAATAAAATTCCCAGACGGGTTCCACAGACCTTCGAGAAGACGGTCGGATGTCTCGGCAATAGCAGTGATTAAGCTAGATGGCCACTGGCCGATCTACACTACGTGCTGCAGAATGGTACAGAACAACTTTAATCCATTTGATCATCGTTTTGATCCACACCTAGCAGAGACTTCATTGGCGCTCTCATGTTGAAAACCGACGGGAAACGGCACAGCTCAGGGACCAGGCTGATAAATCCCAGACATGTAAAACTCGGAAGTTGGAGAAGCGATTTGATTTAAAAGGACTGCCATCGGTCTTGCCCTCTTATCCCACACCACACTAATTTGTTTTCCTGCAAAATCACGTTCACACACTGTCATAATGAGCGTCACTTTTGAGGTCTTCCGCGGCTCCAAGGAGGGAAAGATTGTGGCCGATAAGACCACCCGCACCTTGCAACCCAACGAGGTCTACATCGAGACAACACACTCCGGTCTCTGTGGCACAGACGAGCACTATCTCTGTTCCGGGATAGCTCTCGGCCATGAAGGTGTCGGTATCGTTCGCCAGCTCGGCCGGGATGTCACCAATGTCCAGGTTGGAGCGCGTGTCGGATACGGATACACACACTACGTGTGTGGAAACTGTGACAAGTGCTTGACGGGTACGAATTCCAACCCCAAAATAAGATCCACAGCATGCTAATAGTAACCAGGCTGGGACCAATACTGCGAGAAGAAGAAGGAGTATGGCTCACACGACCACGATTTGGGCTCGTTTGGCGGTGGTGTCGTTTGGGATGCCGGATGCGTCGTTCCCATCCCGGATGGCTATGACTCCGGCGATGCAGCGCCTTTGATGTGCGCTGGCGCCACCGTCTGGACCTGTTTGACGGAATACGGCGTCAAGCCGACGGACCGCGTGGCCATCATGGGCGTCGGTGGTCTTGGCCACCTGGCTATCAAGCTCGCCTCGGCGATGGGGTGCCACGTCGTTGTTTTGTCCAGCTCGGAGGCGAAGCGTGAGGAGGCCTTCGGGTTCGGGGCCTCTGAGTACCATGTATTCCGCAAGGGCGAGGAACTGAAGGACTTCAAGCCTGTGAACCACCTATTGCTCTGCGGTAGCGCCAACGTCGACTACCCTAGCCTCATCCCGCTTATGGATGTGCACGGCTCAATCTATCCTCTGACCGTCGATTTTGCTCCTTCGCCTGTTCCCCTTCTGTTCATGAATCTTAAGGGTATCCGTATCCAGGGTTCGCTTGTTGCGTCGCGCAAGAGTCTGCGCACATTGGTTGAGTTTGCTGCGGATAAGAAGATTAGCCCGACTACAATGACCTTCCCCTTGACCAAAGACGGTGTCGAAGCTGCTATGCAGACTCTGCGTGATGGAAAGATGCGATACCGCGGTGTTCTGGTTCGGGATTAAACGAAGATTATGACCATCGGTAGAAAGGCTTTGAATAGTCTATATGTATTATATTCACATTGTTGGCAAAAATATCCATAGAAATCGCAAGTGCAGTTGATGTAAATGTCGAGTACCAGGCATGATGCATGTAGAAAATACCGAAGGCTTTACAAAACCGGAAGATAGATGGACCGCCATGATAACGGTACCATACAAACCTTGGAAAGCACATACAGTGGTGTTCCATGAGTATTTGACCTTGGGTACTTCGGCCGTGGGCCCACTTTGTAGGCCCACTTTAATATTGCCAGGCAGAAACCTCGAAAATTCAATCCAATTTAATAGCTAGTATGCCAACCTTCATATTTAATAACATCAGCAACTCTATGAGGCATAGTATCAGATAGATGCTTAAACATCTCAATATCTAGCCCCTCCCAAGCTTCCTGGGCAGCGTCGACTAGTAGATCAAGCGTAGTTTCGTTATTTGGGAGCTGTATTAGCTCAGGGTGTCGCTTCAGTATTTCGGCCTTTAGGAGCGCCCATAGGTTCTCAATTGGATTCAAATCGGGCGAATAGGGAGGCCACTCCATAATATCACATCCAAGCTCATTAAGAGTCCCCTGAATGATATAGGCAGTGTGTACCGGTGCGTTATCTTGTTGAAAAATAGCATCTTGATCAATACTATTAAGAAGTGTTGGAAGAACACGCCGGTAAAGCTCTTCAATAGTCCGAGATGAAACACCACCGCGGCGAGACTGAGGATCACCAAATAATGGAATTAAACCAGAGCGTCGCGGAAGACCAGAAAAGGCAGCCCAAAACATCTGTTTAATCTGTTTTCCACGGGTTGGTATCATTTGGACTTGATGGCCCTCTTCTTCGTGCTCCTAAAGCTGGTCCTTTGGACGGGTAAATGTCTATTCTCGACGCTAACCGATACCACGTTCAATAGTACACTCATCAGACCAATACACACGGGCCCAATCCTCAGAAGTGAAGTGCTCATATCTTCGCGCCTAAGTAAGGCGTTTTTCAGCAGATAGAGGTGTTAAAGTAGGCCGTTGCATTTTCCGCCACTTTCGAAGGCCCATTTCATAGGTCAGCCGCCAAATTGAGGTACGTTTAACCTTATAATCGACCTCTGCGAGTAGGTCTGCGACTAAGATTGACGGGTTTTGTTGTATAGTCTCATATATATGGTCACGGTCGTCTTCAGTAAGCTTCCTTGGCCCCCTGAGCGTGCTAAAGACTGTTGCTTTTGACGCTTTGACTCTTGAGTAAGAGTATACTGAATAGTTGAGCGTGGAATATCTGGAAATCGCTTCTTTTTTATAGTTGTTGCACCTAGACCTGGCTTTGAACCTCCGCATGGGTCCCTACCCCGGAACCTCGAACCTCACCTCTTGAGGTGAGGTTCCAACCTTACTAACCTCCAACCGCCCATTAACCTCCAGAGGTTCTTTGAGGTTCAACCTCCATCGACCCGCATGAACCTGCATATACATAATTTCTTGACGCCTTTCCTCTTTTGGCTGGATAAAATTGATGATTCATCTCTGTTTTTTACAGCTGTTCCGTTAAACTATAGACTTTCCACTGAATACTCTATCAATATAATGAATTATAAAGATATAGTCATTGAAAAGTAAATAGGAGGCGTGGTCACCTATAAATTATAGGTAATATCCGATGATATCGACGTGGTGGGTGGTCAATAGAGGTCATCGATAAAATAGCATGTAAAGTTGTAGATATATATAT